AAGGGGCTAAAAAGTCCAAAATAAAAAGAACTTACAAAGATGGTTTAAGAATCCAAATTCCAACTGAGTGCAGACTCAAGAACGGATCCAAGGATTGAGGGGCATTAACAAAACAGTAAAAGTGGGCACTCTCCTCTATCCCTATTTTAGCCGGTCCATCAATACATTGTTTGGTATCTCTCAAAACATGGCTAAGTCTAGTGAAGTGGATACATTTCAATGTCAAAAGAAAGGGTCTCACATCAGAAATAACAAAGAATCCCTACGTTATGCAAGTAGCTAGGTGGTATGGCCATATCAATATCGACGGTAAAACAAAATTAATTTTTGAATATTTTATCTATCTAAGAATAACTTTTAATTAATTAACGAAATATAATGCTTATAAATGAGGTGATTATTGTCATAAAGTAATCCTTATAGTGCCATTAGTTTTTAATAAAGTCCAACTATATAAAGCATTAAAAAAATTAAGATAAGAGGGACTTAGAAAAGCAAATATTGATGGTGGTTAAACTTGAACTTGTAACAATAAAAAATAAATACATCTGAGGACTCATACATGGTCGTTAGACTTGACTTCATAAAATAACCCAAAAGTCATATAAACACGTTATGAAAGGGACCAACATCACAGTCACACCCTATACACGTACACATGCAGCAACCCAAACGCATGCTTCCATGAGTAGAATGACTAGTAAAACCGGGACACGACATGTCACAAAGGGAAAGAGCGCAGACGCTTCAAATTTTTGTTTGGATCCGAAAGAAACGCGTTACACATAAATATCACTCGGAAGTGAGGACTATATTAAATGATTTTTGGCTTAGAAAACGTGATTTTAATGCTGAAAATAAATTAACACTCTTTAGTAGCTTAATCATTTATTTTAGAAGCTGGACTGGACTCTATAAAAGGAGGGGAAGAAGGAAGCATGAGGTATAAGTCCTCAGTATCATCTTATCTGCTCTACCTATAATTTGTAGTTTCTCATATCACTCTCGAGAGGTATATATTAATTAATAATGCGTTTGCTGATCTGCTCTGAATTATATGTGTGTGTGTGTGTGTTGATTCAAATAAATCAAATTGAAGATGTTAAATTAGTACGTTCCTAACACATTTCATTAATTTGTCTTTGTTACAGTTAGCTAGCTTGAAGAATAATCGATATTCAAAGATGATGGATATTGGTGCAAGTAGTATACTGATGGTGGCGTTGGCATGCGTCGTGATGTATGTTGTTGTGGGTTCACTGCAAGCAAGAAGCAACCAGCTTCCACCGGGACCTTCCCTTCTAACCATAATGAGAAACTCTTTCGATTTGTACCAAAAGCCACAACAGACAATGGCTAAGCTTGCAAAGTTGTATGGGCCAATAATGCGTTTGAAGATAGGGCAAGCGACGACCATTATAATCTCTTCAGCAAATGCGGCAAAAGAGATCCTCCAAACCCACGATGTGTTATTCTCAGACAGAACAAATCCTGATATAACAACAGCTTACAACCACAACAACTATAGCCTTGTGTTTCTCCCATATTCACCCTTATGGCAAGAACTAAGGAAGATATGCCATGGCAATTTATTCTCCAGAAAGACCCTTGACGCAAGCCAAGACCTTAGGCGCAAGAAACTTGAAGGACTCCTGAATGATATCCGTGAAAGCAGCCTTAAGGGTGAAGCAGTGGATGTGGGAAGAGCTGCTTTCATGACTTGCATTAACTTTCTATCGTACACTTTTGTCTCTCAGGATTTTGTTGAGTCTGTAGGGAACGAGGAGTACAAGCACGTTGTGGGAACTCTCCTGAAAGCAACCGGGACACCTAACTTGGTGGATTATCTACCAATGTTGAGGATGTTTGATCCACAAGGCATTAGAAGGCACACCACTAATTACATTGACAAGTTGTTCCACATCTTGGACCCCATAATTGACGAAAGGATGAAGCTCAGAAAGGAGAAGCATTATGTCACAAACAACGACATGTTAGACGTCTTGCTTCAAATTTCTGAAGGGGATAGCCAGAAGATGAATAGGAAACAGATCAAGCATTTATTCCTGGTATGTATATGTGCATGCATGTTTTCTTCTCTAGCTCTCTCTTTTTGATCCATGCATGCGACTAATGAATATATGTAATTAATTAATTAATAGGATCTTCTTGTTGCGGGGACTGATACAACAGCATATGGATTAGAAAGGACAATGACCGAACTAATCCACAACCCAGAGGCAATGGCAAAGGCCAAAAAGGAGTTGGAGGAAACGGTTGGAATAGGTAATCCGGTTGAGGAATCAGACATTGGAAGACTTCCATATTTGCAAGCAGTGATAAAAGAGAGTTTGCGTTTACATCCACCAGCACCACTTTTGCTCCCCAGGAGAGCCAAGATAGATGTGCAAGTGTGTGGCTACACAATCCCAAAGGGTTCCCAAGTCCTTATCAATGAGTGGGCCATTGGTAGGAACCCAAACATATGGGATAATGCACATGTTTTTTCACCAGAAAGGTTCTTGGGTTCCGACATTGATGTCAAAGGTCACAATTTTCAGCTCACCCCATTTGGCAGTGGTCGTCGTATATGCCCTGGCTCCCCTCTTGCTATTAGAATGTTGCATTTGATGTTGGGTTCATTGATAAACTCTTTTGATTGGAAGCTTGAAAACAATCTCCATCCAAAAGACATGCACTTGGATCAACCCCTCCGAGCTATTCCACTCTTGGTCAACAGCACCTCAAACCCTATATAATAATATTGTCTTTTTTTTTTTATTCCCTCTTTATTACAGCTTAGCTAGATTCAGTACTACCTCTGTATCTTGATTTACAGTTATAAAAATTAATGATAATTAATATACTCTTTTCCTCTCTCATACCATCTTTCAACTTCGTTAAACACTCGAAGTCTCATCGACTATTACTTTTGGGACCATTATTTTCTTTTTGATATTGTCATTGGTCAAAATAATTGTATAATTAATGGATCATTAGAAAGGGACCTTCTCACTTGGATAAAAATCCTGTGACATCCCTTCTCCTGAACAGTGGTCCTTATCCTTTGTCAACGTGCATATTACGTGTACCCCCATCCCTTTTAAAATATTTATTTTGTTTAAATTAGGGTTGGTTTTTAATCCTAATTTTATCCACTAATATAGTATAAATTTTATTGTTAATAAAAATTACTGTGATTTGTATTTTTATCACTGTTATTATAATTAGAGCTGTTAAATCAATATTATATTTTTAAAAAAAAATATGACTATTTATAATTTGAAATAGACTTTTACTTTTATACAGAGTCAATTTTTTTTAAAAAAATTGCATATTCATTACAATTTGTGCTTATCTTGAATTAACTATATATGAAAAATTTTATAAATATGACTTAGTTGATATATAGTTCAATTACTTAATTTAGATTTGCTTGAAAAGTTGAAGTAAAACATTCAAACCTTATGAATAAAGTTGAGTGGTAAGTTTAAAGCATGCTCGTACAGGTCTGTTAATACTAATATTGACAAATTTACTCAATTTTTAAATTTTTTTATTTTCCTTTTGAAAAAATAGTTTAAGTGTTTACGATGTTATATATAATTTAATATAATATATTTTATAAACATACATTTACAGTATATAATACTATTTTTTATTAAAATAATTTCTTTGAAGTATATTATAAAATCTTTATTATTTATTATTTTTTAAAATATTATTTAGCAAACCAACAATCTCTTAGAATATGAATGATATTTTTATAAGTTAAATCACATCTAGGAAAGAGGGGAGAACTAGACATGTCTCTCTTATACTTTCCTAAAAATTAAAGCGATTCTAGAATGCTCGATCCCCTTCTAAACAACTTTAAAAATATTATTACTGAGATTATATTGTTGTTCATATATATTAACCATATTATAAGCAAATTTAATTAAACATAACCCATTACTTAAAATATTCCAAAAAACAAGTTCTTGCCCTCTTTCCGCATTAAGAGGCTTGATTTGGGCAATTAAGTCTCATATGGGATTAGGGAGAATTTTTTTAATTCTATCCCAGTCCCATCTCATTTGAGTCCCATCTCATTTGAGCAGTGAAGAAAACCAAAGAAAGATGTAATTCTTCCTCAAGGTTAAGAATCGAGGCATATTAAACCAAGTTTTAGACCTAGGGAATCAAATTATCCTTGCAAAATTTAAATGTTAGGCCATCACCGATGACCCAACCCAAATCCTGAAAAAAGAGTTTCCAAACAGAACTTATATATAACATCATTGTCGGTGTTTATTCTCAATGTTTTTATTTTTTGTAACATAATATAATTTTTTATATTAATTTAAAATTTTACAGAACTTAATATTTTTTAATTTACATTAAGATATATGGTGTTCAAAATATACATACAAGTCACTAATTTAACTACTATTGAACCAATAATTATCCGTTGAATATTAGTTTCATTTTTATATCATTGACATAAACAGTGCTATTTTATTCATGAGATAATCTCCTTTTTTCCCCTCGTAAAAGAAATCAGGTATTGAAAATTAGAGAGAATTTTATATACATTTAATGTGCATATATTGTATATATTAAATCAATATTAAATATTTATGACTTTTTGATATCATAGTTATTAAAAAAATAAACGAAGTTTAACTGTGAAAGAAACGAGGGAGAAGATTGACCGCGTTGAATCTAAGGCCTCAAGCTTGCCAAGGTGGGGGGGACAGGGTTGGCCGTGTATACAAAATTTCAACTTACTATTTATTGTAATTATTTATTATTTATATGATTTTTTCAACTTACTGATCTTTAAAGCATTGCTTAATTTTGAAAAATAATTTATTTACATTTTATTTTTCTTGCATCTAATTTTTACTCAATTTTTTTTTCTCTTCTTTTTACATCACATTTATTACTTTCTCACACCTAACATACACCCCTTAATTGGGTTGGGTGTCAAGCTTCGAAAGACCAGCATGTGATTTAATTTTAAAAGATAAATTGGATGCATAGGTTTTTTTGGACATACGCGACTTTAACATTGTATAAACATTTTTCCATGTCATAATATCAACCTTGCATGTGGATTTGAACTTCACCAATGTCAATTCTTCACGGTTCTGTCCTTCACCAACTTCATGCAAGTAACATAAGATGATCCAAATCAAAATATATACCACGCGCACAACATACAGATCCTGGACCTACAATCGAACAATTACAAGTACTTTTTATTTTAAAATAAAAAAGGATCCAAAGATGAAAGAATAAAATAGCACTACCCGACCAACTTTTATTTCATGAACTTACATATACATCAAAGGAGAGGAGGGTTGTTAAGTTTTAGACATCCTTGTACAGTAACTGGTATTTCGGTATACGTTCAGGCGGGAGAGGACAATTCACAATAAGCTTTCCCTTCATTGCTCCTCGAAATATTGCCTGCAGGAATGCAAAAACAGTTTCATGAATACTGATAATAAATACCTGGAAGCAAATATTTCCAGATATCCACCAAAAACTGGTAATTTGTAAACTGTTTAGAGAATTTTACAAATGATACAATAATTAAACCAGAAACAAAAGAATTCTATTAGAATACTGAAATTTAAATGTTGTGAACAACTTTCTCCCCTTTCCTACTCTAGTGGGTTTGTTTGGTCTAAAACTTCACTGTTATTATTATTAGTTTTTTTAATCCTTTTTCATCTTAAATGAAGCACAAGGGTGGCTCTATTCAATCTCAGGTAAGTAATCCAACGTATTGAAGGATTTAGAATGAACGGGAACAAAAAAGTGATCTATAATAGCATTTAGAACAAAAATATCTCCTGGGCTTCATGTTGCAGTTAAACAAGTACGAACACCAAAAGAGGGTAAAGTTATGTAGAAGCTAACCTAGCACCAGATAACTGAACTTCAGATGTACGATTATACATCATTTAATCCAATCATCAAGTCAAGGGAGAAAAATGACATGGGATTGGCGGAAAAACAAAAAAATCAAATACTCAAATGGCTAAGACCACTGAAAACAAATGGCAATACTTGCACAAGCAAGCAAGTCATTTTAAAGCATTCTTCATTTTTTCCCACCATCCATAAGGGACTGCTATCTATATATCTTCTCAAATTAAAACAAGCTATCAAACAAGGATACTTTCTCATTAAAAAACTTCAAGTGTGCCAGACTAAAACAGTTGTTGACAAATAGAAGTAACTATCTTCTCATTGCTAATTTATTATCTGCCAGACTAAAACACATTTTACTTCGTAATCTTGGTGGGCTGCCATATGGTTGTCATCTATTACTACTTTAACAATATAGTGCTCAATAGTAAATAATTAGCAGCTAAACAATTTATAATCAATCCAACTAGATCTTTATCCACAAGAATAATGTTATTAGTGCAGCAAACAAGGATATATACCTCTACAACATCTATGAAGTCTTGCTTTCTGTGAAAACCACCAATCCATTTAGTATGATCCGCAGTCCTAAAAACAATAGCAATAAGGTCAGTAAACTTGCACTCTAAATTTACTGATGTGAGTCATAATACAAGATAAATATAGCTCAAGAGTTGAGAGGACAAATTTCTTTTTTGCAAAGCTACAATGACAACATCACAACACTTTACCACAAGAATTCTAATTCAACTTACAGAATAAGAGATTACAAAATACGAAAAGCAGTAGTTCTACATAAACTCTTTAGAAAATGACATTTAACTGGACTCCAAAGATAGAATTTTTATAGATACAAGTGTAACTTTTAATTTTATTATTGGAATGCAACATTTCATTTAGACCACAATCCCAAACTTTACTACACTTCGTATAGTTGCAACTTTCACAAGCAATACTGAATTGTAAGACTTTTACCCCACCTAACCCAAACATCTGGGTGATATTAATTCAGATTGCATTTATCAGCATAAACATATAACTCTTTAATCTAGACAGCAAGCTCACCTGGCTTAATAATAAAAATAAGCCCACTTATGCCACCCAACACATGGAATTGTCAAAATTTATATACACAGAATAGTATGTGAAAAGAAGCTAGAAGAGAAAAGATCCTTTCCAGTTTTTAAACCTTCTACTGGCTAAAGTTTTCATATCTTATTCTCAAGTTCTCATTGCAGCAAGACTTCAATTAAAAGAGCATATAAAGAGTATTCTAACTCAATTCCTAACCAATGTGGGACATCTTAACAAATATAACATGTCAAGCTACAAATGAGGCATAGTTCATAACATTTATAGATTCTTATAGTAGGAATAATATCACAGATTCAAAGCAAAATAAGTCAAATAATAATAAAGAAAAATAGAGAACAAATCCCCTTTTCAAAATATGGAAGTCATTTACTAGTTTCCAACAATACTTTTCAATGGGAATCATAAATACAAATAAAATCTGAGGCAATAACTACCACTTATGAACACATAATGAAATGACGAGAATTAAACCAAAACAGGATGTGAGAAATTGAAGACAAAAGATAATGGAGCAAAGACCGCCAACCCAGAATCCATTTTCATGTGATGGACATTGAAGAAAAACACTGTAGATGGTATCAAAGTGATGTCAAAGTACTTGACATAGACTTGAATGTCCTCGGAGTCAACATCAACAAGTGCCACAGTTGCAAACTTGGACACATCCCTTGCTGCTTTAGAAAGCTGTATCAATTGGCAATTTGGCACACAACAAAAAAAAAAAGATCATGGGAAAGTATGAAATTAAAAAATAAATAATAAGAAAATGATTTTGATTTTGAAAAAGAAACAATAAATTGAATGCAAGAAAAACAGATGATGAACAAAAATCATACAATTTGATCGAGCTGGAGACAGACAGGGTCAGAGGCACGACCAAAGCGAAGGACGAGGACCTTATCAATGGTGTCCCTGATGATGGAATCCACCTCTATCTTCTTTGACAATGTTGTTAACAGGTAATTCATTCTCCTTCACCACAATTTTTGAACATCAAATTCAAATACACTACACTTTTATAAGTTAGTTTATCTTGATTGATAAATATGAAACCTAGGTTTTCCAAGTATCACCGAAAATTACAACAATGAAAGAAAAGGATTAATAACCAGTCTTACTAGATGAAATTACATCAACACAACTTCAACTGGCTCAAACAAAATGATGGTATCCTGTATACCTGAGTATTGACATAATCAGTCAAATAATTTTGTTATAAGTTTAAGCACTGTTTGCTTTTAAGGAAAAGAGGAGATGAAGGGATTTTAATAGAAAGAAGGTGAGTTATTTTAACCAAGAAAATGTATTTGGTCCATAAGGAAAGAAGAGAGAAGAGAACTAAATAAAAATAAATTTATTATTAGTCTAATTTTTTCTCCCCTCTCAATCTCTGTAATTTTAAGGGAGAAAAAATTAAATGATGACAAATTTTATCTCCTTTCTCATTCCTTTAAAATTTTGAATAAAACATTAAAAAAATTATAAAAATTCTTCTCATCTCCTTCTCTTCAAAATTTTATAAAATTTCTTCCCCTCCCTTCATTTTTTCCCTCCAACTAAACACTATATTATTTAACAATAAAACAGAGAACTTCAAACTTGGGTATGGAGACTATCTTTAGCATCCTCAAGTAGAGAGGAGTTAAGATCCTCTCCATTTTCTTCTCTCAATTTTCTTGTCCATTTCATCATTCAACGATTAAAATTATTACAATACAAATTTTGTTTTATGATTATTAATACTTTAAAACAATTTAATGACTAGGATTTTGTCCATTTATGGGAAATGGAGAGAATACATTCTGACTAGAAAGTAATTGGGCATTGTTAGCCCTATTGGTACATAAGTCAATCAAAACTTGTGCATCAAACTGTCAGATCTATCCTAACAAAAGTTATCATATATTTTTTCAAAAATTATATATACATTACAAAAAAAAATAGAAAAATGATTAACTCAAATCAATAGTTCCAACAAGAAAAACTGCCTTAATTTATGAAGTAAAATGCAAGTTTGAATAAAACAATGGGTAATTTAAAACTATCTCCAAAATATTTCAGATTTTATAACTAACATTAAACAAGGAAACTTGAAAATTTTATGACTAATATAATGTTACTCTGGCCCATGACAAAGCCTTAGGTTAATATCAAAGTCTAGTAAAGTATAATATTGATATTATTACAGTCAGGATAAATCCAAAAGATTGATTCAACCACTGTAACATCAGATAGTTTGCCTATCCACATTAAGCCAAAGGTCTGCACATGATCGTTATTCTAATTTAAGCCAAAGAAAACCAATGAGCTTGCAACAATGAAGTGTGTAGACCCTAATGGAATCGAAAGTGACAATCGACGGATTTGCACAAACATAGTGATGCATCTCTTTGTGCATATGCAAATATTTTTGGGCTTATTATTATACCTTTCCATTTGAAGACTGCTTATAAAAAATGTTCCTATAATTTCATTACATCAGAACAACATAAAAAAAAGTTGAGATTATGCACTAAAACCTGTATGGGACATAACATAAGGCTGTTCCATACAAACTTTATCTGGCACAGAAGATTTTGTCGCAGAATTAATCATGTCTGAAGCTGCTGACAGTTAATTTAGCAGACAATTTTTCACAAGCAATTCAAAATGAGGAGAAAAAGGTAAAAAGGATTCTATTTATTATTTTGAAATAACATATAGAGTGTAAACATGCACAGATATTTGGAAATATGCAACTTGTTTTGTTAGAGATTAAGTCACACAGAAATCTCCCCTCGTTCTACAATATTTAACCTAATTGACCTGTTATATTTCCCCTGACAACAACACTTAGACATTATGTTACCTTCTGAATCATCCTTTTTCAAAAATTTAGAAAAGAATTTCAAAGGGGCACTTGATTTCTAGTTATCACAAACTGTTTTATTTTCTTTTCCAAACAAAATATGATGGTCCAAAGAGGGGGGGAATCAGATAGGAATACAGTAAGCAATAAATTGTGTACAAGTACTACTTGTTTCATCAAAATGTAAATTAAAAACCCAAAAAGATTGGTAAAATATAGATTTTGGAACTGATCAAGACACTTCCTGATGGATATCTTCCTACTAGCTTTATTTTAATCCTACAACATGGACAACCAAGAGGACCGGTGTTTCTTTTTTAATCCAAAAGAGGACCCCGGTTATTCTAGTTAGTGTACTTTATGGACTAAACTGATGACACTAAAGCTTAGAAGGTTTTATAAATGTCCTCTTACAATAAAAAAAAGAAAAGAAAAATACTATTTAATACCTTGAGCAACATCCCCATAGAGATATACACAGAATAAGCAGAAAGCCTACTTTTCATGGGAAATAGAAAACAATTTAACATCAGCTCCTTAACAGCACGAACAATTGATGGTTTTGCTCAAAATTCCTCTCTTAAGTATGACACATAGTAGGGACCAAACTAGCTTGCACATAAGAGGCATCACTCATTATGCCACACATAGAGCCATATGCGAATTTCACACTTGACTATCTAAAATCTATAAACCTAATACAAAACTTTCCACACCCATTAACCCCGATAGAAAAGCTTATCGCCACTACAATTAAACTGACTCATCCCATTTCAATCATTGGTCACTGCACATTGGCAAACACTTGCAACTTCTAACACCCAAAAAAACACACACCTGCGATATATCGATCACAGTCTTGAATCAACTTGGTGAATCTGGAATCATCCTGTGCAAGAGGCACCGTTTTGTAGTGCTACCTTTGCAGTATGATATTCTTCGAGTTGAATACAAGCGGTCCTGTAAATGGCAACAGCACTGATATAAGAAAACGATGCATAAGTTGATTCAATCGAAGCATAATTGAAAAAATTGAGAACAGAGGAAAAGAAAGGCATAAGATTTTCAGATAGAAACGAAGAGCTTACGCTTTACGAAGATAGGCTTTGGGCAATGAAGGGCTTAATTGAATAGCTTTGTTTGCATCGGAAACGGCTTCTGCTTAAGCCCAATGAGAGTGATTGTTAATGCGCAACTTGTTTCTGCTTAACTCGAAAAACTTGAAACTCAATATAGGAACGTTGAGCTTATTAACGACGTCGTAAACAAGCGAAGGGGTTCGGTGCTTACTGAAATAGCCGAAGAAGCGTTCGAGCGAGTTGGAGCGAACGACGATGGTGCAAGCGATCTTGACGAACCAGGCTTCGGGCCTTTTGATCGAACCCATGGGCTCCCAAGCGATAATAGTCGTTGGCTTCGCCGCAAATGCAGCTGGTTCGATTTTTTATTCTGCGGTTTGGCTCACGGTTATATGGCCAGTGAAACTGTTGGACCGAACAGGACTCGTCTTTGATGCGGGCTTTACCCATACCACACTCTTACTTAACGGAAGTATTGAGAGCGAATAAAATCCTATTTGGAACAACCACCTAATTTTGGAATCTAATTCCCAATAGGTGAAGGAGAGACTGAGTTTTTAATTATATGAATTATTCCTAATTTCTAATGCAATTATATAAATGAAGGGAAGTGAAACTAATGTTAAAAAATTGTATAAACTAAAAAATTGTAAAATATAAGAGAAGTGAATATAATTTATGTATATATAAAATAAAATATTTAAAGAATAAATTAAAATTGATTGCTTAAGTCTCTAGTGTAGATGTTACCTCTAGTGTAGAACGCTCTGTGAGTAAACACACTCCAATTTCTCAACCTTCTCTGTTTCTGTTTCTCAATCTACATGTTTGGAAAATAATTATTTAGGAAAAATAATCAATTATATATATATATATATATATTTAAAAATTAATTTTAAAAAATCTGACTTAAATACATACTAAATAAAAATATTTATAATTTACATTGAACTATGCATTTTAACAGCCTAGAATGCACAATTCTTGATTTATTTTATTTTTAATTAAATTCATATATTTCATAAAATCTTAATGAAAAATTTAATTTAAAATTCATTAACCTACTTTTAAAATATAGGAAATAATTTAAAATTTTCTAAATAATTGACGACCTGTGAAGTAATTTAACCTCTAAAATACAATGGACACTTTCTTTTTTTTTTTACGGGGGTAATTCTAATATGTGGAGCTCAGCTACCACTATACACTGCTAGTCTCGGCTCACATACACAGAATATACCGTTCTGAAACTCTGAAAGACCCTTGTGTGGCGTCGGAAATTGTTGGCCCCCATTTCAATTCATAGCAAAGCCTATTCAATGTCAACGGCTATGGCGGCATCTTCCTTTACAACAACTTCCACCCTCTTCCCGTTCAGAACTACTCCTAAATCCTCTCATCTATTTGCTTTTCCTTGCAAACAGCTTACCCACCTTCCCAACCTCCATCTCAGACCCGTCTCAGCCTCAGCAGGTTCATCTTCAACCACATCCATCCAAATCGACAAATTCCCGGTCTCCGTCACACCCTCGAAGGCTCTTCCCTTTCGGGTCGGGCACGGTTTTGACCTCCATCGACTAGAACCCGGTTACCCCTTAATCATCGGTGGAATTAACATACCCCACGATAGAGGTTGCGAGGCTCATTCCGACGGTAATTCAATTATATTCTCCCCTTCCGATTTTTAATCTTTCAACTTTCAATTTTTTTAAGAGTACGATGATGAGCCTTGTTGGTTGTTTGATACAGGGGATGTTCTGCTTCACTGCGTGGTCGATGCTATTTTAGGGGCGTTGGGTCTTCCTGATATAGGGCAAATATTTCCGGATTCAGATCCTAAGTGGAAGGGTTGTGCCTCTTCGGTGTTCATCCAAGAATCTGTGAGTAATAAATTACAAACATATGTTCCATTCTGCATTGTTTCCTCCATCGAAATCTGATAGTAGTTTTAGGCATTAGTGTTTCCGTCTCTTTAATGTTATTAGTTTGAATTCAATCCCTGACCTTGGAATACAATAAAAGGTCATTTGTATTATTATATTTCAATGGATAATTTGTGGATGCTACATATCCCTTTCAAGCTAGTATCCATAGCTAGATTTCAAATGGTTACTAAAATTTAAGTATGATTATGATAATGCGCAGGGATGAAATGAAGCATAATTGAATGACATTACTTGCTATTGTTTTGATGGTTTAAAACAACATGGAATGGAACCTCATGTATTCCATTCAATTCTATCAAATACCTCTATTTTTCTTTATCCCTCAATTTGGGGATATGGACTGATGGAATGGGACTACCTCATTGTTCACTAATTTTCTTACATTTCCATCCACTTTTTAAATAATTGAACTAAAACCTTACTTCATGCCATTATAAAAATATTCAAACAATGGTATGGTAGTTTTATTCCATTCCATTCTATACCATTGACCACTCCATTCCATCCATCATAAGATATCCTAGCATTCCCTTTGGTCAATTCAGAGTGATGTATCTAGTTTGAATTTGAGATGACATACATCCTTTATCAACCTATCTTCAACCTTGGTTTGTTGCAATAACATGCTAATACCATTTAGCCAAGGAGATAGACCCAAGAGTTGAAACTAAGCTCACGAAAATTGAAGAAGGAATTAGGACATTTTGGGTTTGAGATTTTATTTTATTTTATTTTTCTGATTTCAATAATAATTATAAAAGTGACACCTTATTTTCACTTTGTTTTACATTTTCAAGGATCTGTTTTCACCATTTACCCTACAAATATTTGACTAGAAACAAAGTGAAAATGATGTATTATTTTTTGTACTTAGTGAAAACAAAGTATTTTCTCAAATCAAACATGAAACAAGCTTTTCGATGTTATTTATTGTGCGGTGCTTGATCAAGTGAAATTCATGGCCAAGTGTATATCTCTTATTCTACCAATTATTTTGTATTTATAAATAAGTAAATATATTGCCCTCAAACATGGATTTCTATTTTGACTAGTTACTTTATTACTTTGCATTTATTAGTTTTTTCATGTATAGTTGTTAGAATCTTACAGTTTGTGATTCAAATAATAGATTCAATATGATCCATATCATGTGATGAATCACATATATGACTTTGAATCATACAATGATACGTGGGTGAATTGGTAAAATTTTGTATCTCCGATATGAATCACCTGATTAATGATTCATTATTTTTCATTTTTATCTTTCACCAATTCTTATCAAAGAAATTGAAAAGTCAGATATGCTTAAATTGTTAAAAGAAATGGAAATGAAGGAGCACTTCTAATCGCACCTTATTATTTCTGAAATTTCACATCGTCACTCATTATGTGCACTATACTTGGCTGTTTCTTGCTTCTAAAATAAAGGCTTCACAATTCAGTAATGACTTGTGATTTTGTTTTGTGGAACTTATGATTATGTTCTTTTTCTCAATTTCTAGTTTGAAATTGTTACATTGAGCATTATACTCTATTTACAGGACATTTATTTTATGTTATTTTTCATTGGATCTCTAAATCTTACTATTCAATATGATTTATGATTCGTGATGTCAATTTTGATTTGATAACTACATGCCACTTGCTTGTATGATGGCTCTACAAGGGAAATCGTATTTGGTTATTGAAAGTTTTTTTCTAGGACATAAAGTACGTACAACTGCCGGATATTTTATCTTGCAGTTTTTAATCTCTGTTATTGTATTTTACAGGTGAGACTTATGCATGAGGCAGGTTATGAAATTGGAAACTTAGATGCTACATTAATACTTCAGAGGCCAAAATTAAGCCCACACAAGGATGCTATCAAGGCCAACTTATCTGCACTGCTTGGAGTGGACTCTTCTGTAGTAAATATAAAAGCAAAAACTCATGAAAAGGTTGACAGCCTTGGAGAAAATAGAAGTATAGCAGCTCACACAGTGGTTCTTCTAATGAAGAAATGAGAAGAAAATCTGGAAGTATAAAGGAACATGATAGAACTGCAATTCGTCCCAAAACTGTAAATTTTATAAATCATGTTTAATTAGCTTATAGTGTACTTTGTAATGTTTATACCTATCTTTTAGTGCACTCTGGCAGTAAATTATTAATTGGTTTTTCTCTTCCCCTGAATTTTGCTAAGAATGTGGTTACTATCTTCAAGCTTTTGGTCATTTTGGTATTAAGAGGACCCCTGTATAGGTTTGAACGGCAGATGGAGCGATAAATATATTTAAGCTGAAGAGTAGGGCTGTATAAACAACGGTCTATTAAAAATTTGAAACTGGATACATATTTATTTGTACATTTCAAGACAAATTTGCCTTCGTAAGAGATGTTCAAGTATGGCAGTCAACAATTTTGATAATTACTTGACCTTTTCTTTTAGTCCTAGTGTTTTTTTTTTTTCCATTCAAGCGGTGAAATTAATTTCATTTAAGATAATAAAAGTGACACATTAAATTAATGTTATGCCTCTGTGATATCATAATCATAATGAATGGGAAATGAGAAAACAATGTAGCAACTAATTTTAGAGACCATTTAACTATAAAAATTGTCGAAGAATGGCAGTGGTCTATTCTTCTCGGATGGCAGTTAAACTTACGTAGAAAGTATGAGTTAAAAATTTGTTAACTGTACCTTAGGATGTGTTTCTCTCAATGATATATTCTTAATTTTAGTTTGTAAAACTCTTTTCCAAAAAAATAAGTTTGTAAAAAAGTTTGATATAAACATAATGATATATATATATATATATATATATATATATATATATATATATATATCTTACACTAATATAAGTCTAAAAACTCTTACACGAGTCTTTTATTTAACTTAAATTTAATGGACAGTAAAATAATAAATTATAACCCTTTAAATTTAAGTTAAATAAAATGTTTAATATAAAAGTTTTTAAATTTATACTATTGTAAGAAGATCCTTCCCTGTATATATAACAAAAGAATAATTTATGATTGAGTGAAATTTAGGTATTCCTAATAAATAAATTAGAGGTGTCATAATAACTTCTTAATATACTATTGCTATTAAGCAATAACTAGTCTATTATCTTAAACACCTTAAAATTTTCATATTTGTTATTTTGAATCAAAATTAAACTCACACATAAGGAACAAAATAACTCATTATTAATTTTTTTTTAAAATTTTGTCATTGTTCTGATTATTATTCAGTTTTTTGAAGTAATATTTTAATATTATTTTGTAATGTTTACTATATATATTTTTTATTTTATACTAATCTAAGATTGTATTCACTTTTTAATTATATTTATTTTATAAAATTACCTTATGTTTATTTTTTATAACACTTGTTTATACAATAATTTTTATATTTAAAAAAATTATATTTTTTTTATACGGACGATTTGGTACATAATAAAATACTTATACATAAACTAAAACATAAATTTTCTTAAGTATAATACTAATTCATAAATAAGTGTTAATTATAGAATTCAAATGTATATTTTAACTAAAAAATAAAATCATAAACTTGTTTAAAAAAAATAAAAAATAGCCATCAAATAAAATAATAATAAATTTTAAAAATATTAAAAACTAATATATTTAAGTCAAAAATTATTTATTGTTTAAGATTTATATATTTATTGATTTGGTAAATACATAAACCAATAAAAAATAATTATTATATTCAATAAAATATTAAAAATTATTTACATATAATAAATTGTTTTATTAATATTAAAAACATATAAATATATTTAATCTTTTTGAGAAATAAAATAATAAAATATTATGAGAATAATCATAAAAAATTGTCATACAAATAGACAAGAATATTTTTACTAAACTTTCAAAGGATATTTAAATACTTTTTGCTTTTTTATATTTGATTATTAATTTTTCTAATATGTATGCAATGACACGTAATATAAAATTAATAATTAATAAAAATAATTTAAAATATTATCTTTTTTATAATTTGATTATTAGACGCACGTTAAATAATTATTCAATTATCATTTCACATAGATAACATTGATCATCATTGTTGTAATATGTTGATATTTTTTTATTTTGGTTTTGGTTTATTTTTTTGTACTTAATCTATATTTATGATTTGTTCAATACTAAAATAATTTTATATCTTAGTTTTACAACAATAACATCATTAAAATATCATTTTCAAATTAAAATTATTTTAATGAAAATATTGGGTTTTCTAAAATTATTTTGTTGATATTTTTTATTCTTTTAAAATAATTGTTTGCTATTTTTATTTATAATTTGATATTATTTTCTATTTAAAATACAAGCATAAAACTTGTGAATATAATCGTTAAAAAGAACTAACCAATCAAACTTGTTGAAGATATGAACAATTTAATACAATCTTTTAATTTAAATATAAAAAAAAACTTACATTATAAATAATATCATATATGTAATTATTTTTATGTTTTTATTTTTGATACATGTATATAAAACATACACCGGAAAATCAACACTTTGAATTTTAATGTTCAAAAAAATATTTTCCTATTCATCATCTTTTGTTTTGAAGGAATACGTTCTACATTCTAAATTTTCCGTCGACTTTGAACGATGGATCGTCGGACTATAAACCAGAAATGGTTAAGCTTATTACTCCCTTATTTTTTTTTAATTAATTTCATTTTGCTTTTGCATTATTTTTATACGCACGATTATCTTGGGTGCAGATATATGTACGATTCTATAACAGCTGTTACATGTGTATTATGTGTATGTGTATGTGTATGTGAATGTGAATGGAAGACATGCTTCACGTGGACATGCAGTATTGAGCCAAGTAGTTTTTGACCAAAACTCTCTCTCTCTCTTGCAGAGAAGAGCGTGTTTCAAGTTTCAAGGTTCAATGATAATCCAACGAAGCCGGTCCATTTCGAGAGTTTGGATAACCCACTGCAAGAAAGGTTGAGCGAGTAAAACCCTAAAAACACAACTATTTCCAGCCTTGACTAGAATATCTTTTTCTCAATTCTACAACAAAAGTGTATTCTAAAAAATAATTATTAATTTTAATTTAAATATTTTATGAATATATCTAACTATAAATGAATTGTTAATAAAGTCACACTTTCTGATTTTATCCATCTTTTTATATTAAAAGAATTAACTCTTTTTTTAACAACCTAATTTAAAATTTTTGAGAAAAATGAAAAATATATTTATGAAAAAATACCCAGTTTTGAAATTAAAACTGTTGGTCATTCTAAGGTCTTGAAAATATTTTCTGAGTTTTTGACGATTATTTGATATTTGAATTACATTTATTTTTTATCAAATTACATAAAATTATAATCTATCACTCTCAGCCTCCCACGTGGGGAAAATGGATATCGCGTGGTGTCTTCCGTTCTGCAAAATCCGAATTCGCACGTTGGATAATACGCAGTCAATTGACATCACTTTCTATCTCCGACCATATTTTTGTTCTTTGATCACCGAAAGCAAATGAATTTATGAAAGTGAGAAGAAATGTTCTTGGGTCTAGAAACAACTAACCAGAGTAAATGCGGTCAATTTCTCCAATCAATCAAAGCATTGATTGTAAGTGTTAAGGTTCACTTTTTTTTTTCTCTATGCATATTATGAGAAGACTTTCACCTTTGAGATATTAGTTATAATTTTATCAGAGAAATTAAAAATATTTTTTATTAACTTTATGTTTAATTGGGTTGAAAATTTAAAAATATTTTTATATTATGTTTTATATAAAAAATTATCTTTAATTCTTTTATAAGTATCTTTGAAATATTGATTAATATTTATTTTTTATTAATTAATGTAGAAATTTTACCTTTTCTATATTTTTATCTATAATTTAAATTACTTTTAATTTTATTATAACTAATTAATATTATCAAAGTCTTTTGTAAATTCTAAAAAAATAAAGAATTACTTTTAAATATATTAATTATTACATTTATTATATATTATAAGGTTTATGTCAACAAAATATTTATTTATTGGTTATATAACTCGATATATTTATTTTTTTTATAAATAAGATATATATATCTATATATATATATTAAGTTTAATTTTAATGAATTATAATTATTTTATGATGGAAATGATTAAATATATTAATTTTTAACTTTAAAGTAAAAAATAAATAATTAAAATATAAAAATTATATGTAACTTTAAAGTTTTTTTTAGTGTTATTAGTTAATTAAAACTTAAATTTACCTTTATTTATTGAGTGAAGAATGATACTACTTTTTATATTTTTTTATTAAAAATAATTAATTCATTTATTAAGATTAATAAAAATAATTATATATTATAAATTTATATTATATTGTTAAAAATATTTATAATATTAAATATTTATAATAAGAATATAAAAAATTGAACAATTAATAAATTTAAAAATACAACTTTTTTTACCATGTCCATAGTAAAGACACGTAATAAAAAATTAACAAGTAAAAAATTATAATATTTAATATTATAATTTATTGTATTATGTAATATTTTATTTTTAATAAAAAATATTATTATACATATATTCTTTTTGTATATCTTTATTTTGTTACACAGGAAATTAAAAAGAAAAGACTAGCTCCTAAACTAGATTACACCAAAAATGTCATTAAGAGCTGAATACTGGAGGGGGACCCTAAAAGATCAACAGAGGATCTCAATGTAGCCACTGAATACAGATGATGAATCTTTATCTCCCAATTTCTTCTTTGCAGCTCTCTTATGTTACTAATGATAGCAGCATTTCAGGGAAGGTCCATTATAGGGTCTAAAGAAATATCAATAATATCATCAATTTTTAAGCTAATTAACTACTTATTGTCCTTTGACGAAATTATAGTACCTATATTTTAAATGTTACCCAACACGTTTCTGTCATTGTTTTCCATACCCTTAATTAACTTTTTTTGTATAATTACACTTCTGTTAAAGGATGAAGCTTATCATTAACTATAATCTAGATAAACACTTGAAATTCCTCTTGCATGTACTTTTAAAATATGTTGAATGCTTTTTTATTTCGAAATATTTAAGTTTTAGTTGTTTTGTTTGTTTGAATTGTATCAATTCACAATAAAACTGTCTTCATCTTTGTTTATTTTCATTCAACCCCTTGACCAGTTTTAAAATTAACTTGATTTCCTTGCAAGGATTATCACTGTTTACTCAATTAGCTAGCCGTGGTCGAAATAAAGCACTCATAAGCAGAGAAACAAAACTCCTGAAAGCATCAAAGAGAAGAGATCGAGGCTGTGTTATTCTGTAATTCCGATTAACTGAAGAATGAAACTGCATGTCTGACTGGACTGCCCACAAAACCTTGCCCAATTTTCAAACTAAGATTAGAGGACTTCTTAGATCATTAATTATAGTTGTAATTTTTTTTTTGTTAATATTAGTCTTTAATTTAATGTTGAGTATTTAAATTTATTAATTAATTTTTTTTATTAATAATGATAAAAATATTTTTGCCTATACCATTGAATACGTAGTTTTTAGTGATTTTTATTTCAACATTTGATTATAATTCAATGTAATACACATATAAACTTTGATTATAATTTATAATTATTTAATTTTAATAAAATATAATATAAATAATTAAGATAATAGAATAATCAAATTGACACAAATTTGATTTCATGTAAAGATATTGTTAGGTAATTATTAATATAATTTATATTGATATACTTTGACCTCTCTCTTTTTCTGTGTATAATCAAATTGAGGAGAAAAAAATATTGACCGAATCAAAAGCGTTTTAAATTAGAATTCACCTCAAATACTAATTATCAATTATGTAATTAAAATACACATTTGACAAAGTCATCAATCACACGCACTCGAACCTATCACGGAGTATTTGGTTTTCGTCACACAAACATTTAAGCAAAACACTCCAAAATGTATAGTTGATGCTTACTGTGGATTTCACCATTCTAAGACTCATAGTACGGTCAACCCGCACCCATTTTCGCCCACAACAGCTTCCACATGCTCTAAATTTTTAACGTGCACGTCCATGACTAAGCCTAGCTTGATTCGTCAAGTTATTGGGCTACTCATAATTTTTACATGCTTTCACTTTCAATAATTTAAGAGTTATTTTTTCCTGTTTAGGTTATGTTTTGGATATATAATATTCATGATTGGAATAGAATAAAGTTAGTATTATAATATTTTAACATGTTTATGGTAGAACATTGAAAAAAAATATATTTTATATTACTCATATTTATGAAAAATAAAATTGATCAATGATATATATTAAATACAATGGAATAAAATTAAAGGTTTTATTAACTTCGTTAAGCATTCTTAAATAAAATAATTTTATGAAAAAAATATACAATTTTATATTGAAGTTATAAAAACAAAATAAATACTTATTTTTTTAATAAAGTTTTATTATTAACTGCTTATTTTCAGTCTTAAGGAATAAGGTTAACAAAACTCTAAAATTAAATGTATATTTTTGAAAAATATACAACAAAATTTTTAATTTTAATACATTATTGATGTAAAAATTAATCAAAATATAAAAGAAGTTAATATGTCTTTTATATTAATATAAAATCAACAGTTCTTACGGATACGCTAATAAAGTGAAAAAAAATTTCTGCCACTAGTATATTTAATTCATAAATAAATTTTTTATTAAAAAGTATAATATTTAATATTATTAATACATTAAATACTGTAATTTGTTAATAAAAATTAGTATTATATAAATTCTTATTATGTATCTTTACAGGTTGAAATGATTATAAAATATAATATTGTTTCGTTTAATTTTAACCTTGGAGTAAATAAAAACATATATGATGATTAAATTGCAATATTAAATGAAGCAAGAAACTTATTTGTTAACTAAACTAATAATTTAAGATCATTCATTGTCATCATTAAATTGTTTAATGTCATACTGAGCGATTTAAAATAGGTAGAACATGGAGGACCACTTTTAAAGTTGGCAGCCAGTCTCCTTCGCAGGAAACTTCATTTCATATTTGTCTACAGGAATTCCCACCTCTGAAAATCAACGTTAATTTGAGCCGAACATGCTATAAATATGCATAATATCTCACATGGAGTTGTAGTTCATTCATAGCGTAGACATTATAATTAACACATACAAGCACAGAGCCTAAGACAAACTTTTCCGACCACTCAAAAGCCACTGTCCTTGCTTTTCTCTTGATCTGATTCAACCTCGTTAAACTAATTTGGTAGGACAGTTCGTAAACTTAGAAAAGACATATGGAGATGAAGACCGTGAACCAAATCCAATTGCTGTCTAAGATAGCCACCGGCGATGGACACGGTGAGAACTCCCCATATTTTGATGGATGGAAGGCTTATGAAGACAATCCCTTTCACCCCACCAAGAATCCTAATGGGGTTATCCAGATGGGTCTTGCAGAAAATCAGGTATATTAATTAATGCCATCCAATTAAATTTAGAGTTTTGTTAATAATAACACTTAACAATAGTAAATATTTATTCAAGGTGAATTTTTTTTTCTAACTCTTCTTCAGCCACCATTCAGCATAATTTTAACCCTTAATTTTTATGATTTAATAAATGAGATTGATCAAAAAGTGATAAAAAAAAAATTAAGTGAAAATGAGAGTAGTTTATTTGTGAAGCTGGTTGGTCCTGCTGCCGTACATGTTATAAATATTTTTTAATATAGTTTTATTATTTGTAATTATTTAAAATTACTAAAGAAAATATCAGATATTTTTCTTAAATTAAAACTTCTTTGAATTCTCATAAAACCACCCCAAAAATACATACTCATTTTTTTTCTTCTTGTTGGATCTATATATTTTTTGCAGCTTGCTTCTGACTTAGTTCAACATTGGTTATTGGAAAATCCGGGAGCTTCCATCTGCACTCCAGAAGGAGTACGTGATTTCAAGCTGATGGCTAACTTTCAGGATTATCATGGTCTACCAGAGTTTAGAAAAGTGAGTTGTCATGAGAACTTGAAAATTAAAGCTTAATCAATTCAAATAAGTTCGGTTAATGGTGAACTAACATAACTTGAATTTTTAACAAAATTCAACAACAGGCTTTGGCTAAATTCATGGCAAAGACTAGAGGAAATAGAGTCACTTTCGATCCTGAGCGTATTGTTATGAGCGGGGGAGCAACTGGAGCACATGAAGTCACTGCTTTTTGTTTGGCAGACCCCGGTGATGCATTTTTGGTACCCACACCTTATTATGCAGGGTAATTCATTTAGTTGATATTCAATTTCAATATAAAACTTCTTTACACTTCATGGATTTTCTTTAATTATTATAAGCATTTGTTCTTTAATTTTTGTGGGGAACATTAATTTAATATCAAACAAGTGCCTCAATTAAAATATAATTGAAATTTGTAACAAAATTTTATTTATTTTTTTACTAAATTGACTTCCAATGCAATATTCCAGTCCTTAGCATAGACCCAAGCGATGCTTTGTAGGCTAACGTAAATGGAATTTAATTGATGACCAATACCAGGTCAAAAGCTCAATTAATTAAACCACAATTAATTAGGTAGCAAACAATTGCTCTCCATTAAGCCCTGTGGACCAATATACTACATGATTAAATTTATACACTGTCTTTTTCTGATCTTTGTCACTGCCAGAGACTAAACAAAGCAAATATGAGTCAAAATGATAAATAGGACTAAGAAACTTTCCACAAAACAGCATCAAGATGACTTGTTAAGATTTTAATAAAAAAATAACTCTGTATGATTATGCATTAGTTAAATAAACCAATTAATTTTTAAATTTTTATTGAAAATACTTCATATCAAATACCAATTTTAAACGTGATTTTTATGATATGATTTATGCATCATGAGAAATGTGAAATGTTATATTAATTTTATTACTTGTACTATTAAAACTTTACATCATACGTGACATATAGTTATTTTGATCTTTTACTTTTTATATGCATGAATGCTAAAATTATATCACTTAATAATATAAAGAGGCATAATTTAAAGTCTCTTTCTGTGTCTAGTTAAATGTATTACGTTAAAAGTAAAAAATTATCTGTCGTTTAACATTTATTTAAGTTTGTGTTTGACAAATCATGAGGATCTATTATAAGTTAAACATTGACTCCGTATCAAAAAAGCACTTTTGATCATCTCTCTAATAAAAGCAGTTGGTTTGCCTAATGCAGTTTTGACAGAGATTTGAGGTGGAGAACAGGAGTTCAACTTGTTCCAGTAATCTGTGAAAGCTCCAATGGTTTCAAGTTAACAACAAAAGCGTTGGAAGCTGCGTATGAGAAAGCCAAAGAGGACAACATCAGAATAAAGGGCTTGTTAATTACCAACCCATCAAACCCATTGGGAACTACCATGGATAGAGAGACATTAAGAGCAGTGGTGAGTTTTATTAACGAAAAACACATCCACCTAGTATGCGACGAAATATATGCTGGAACAGTTTTTTGCCACCCTGGTTTCACGAGCATTGCTGAAATAATAGAGGAAGACACAGATATCAAGTGCAACAGTGACCTCATTCACATTGTTTATAGTCTTTCCAAAGATATGGGGTTCCCTGGCTTCAGAGTCGGTATTATATATTCTTACAATGATGCCGTGGTCAATTGTGCTCGCAAAATGTCTAGCTTTGGATTAGTATCCACACAGACCCAATATCTTATTGCATCAATGCTCTCTGATGATGAGTTTGTGGAACGGTTTCTTCAAGAGAGTGCAAAACGCCTTGCAACAAGATATGGTGTTTTCTGTAGGGGTCTTGCCCAAGTTGGTATAAAGTGTTTGCAGAGCAATGCTGGTCTCTTTCTGTGGATGGATTTGCATCGTCTTTTGAAGAAACCAACTTTTGAAGCTGAAATGGAACTCTGGAGAGTGATAATCCACCAAGTTAAGATCAATATTTCTCCTGGTTCTTCTTTCCATTGTTCTGAGCCTGGGTGGTTCCGGGTGTGCTATGCAAACATGGATGATAGAGCTGTGGAAGTTTCTTTGACAAGAATGCGTACCTTTGTGCATCAAAACACAGAAGATAAGAAACCTTGTAGCCAGAAAAACTTGAGGTTAAGTTTCTCATCCAGAAGGATGGACGATTTCTTGACGTCACCTCACTCCCCAATTCCTCAATCACCTCTAGTTAAAGCCACCACTTGATCATGAATAGGGACACTTTTTTGTACCGTTAAGAAGTACCTGATAGAGAGGTTTTTTGGGTGAATTGATAGAGAGATTGTTTGGGTTTTGTGTGAAAGCTTTGGTATCTTTTAGCGTTTTTTTCTTAATCTTTCATAAAATAACAAAGGATTATTCCTGCCATAGTAACCAACATTAGAAAATTTGATCCTGTCTAGTGGATGTCCTATAACACAGTTAAATCATGATTGATGGATACCCCTTTAGTCATTGGGTATTCTTTTTTACTTTTTTCACTTGCGAGATATTGGATTCATGGTGAAAGAAGTTTACATATCAATTTGTAAGATTTGTTTTGTTTTTGGTTTACAGTTATTGATAATATTTTTGGTGTGGAAGATTTATGCATTCTATCATGGCTATTGCCTTGGCCAGATTAATTAATCCTTATCAAGGACTTAATTTTTTTCTCCACACTTTTTCTTTTTAATGTTCAATTAATTGGAAAGTTTAATTTTGCAAAAGACCTAAAGAAAGTGAAGATTTATCCGTCAATAAAACATATAAGGATTGATGGATGCTCATGGTGTAATGACCTTTTTCTAACAACAAAAATGCTAAAAAAAAAATTTATCCTTTAAATCGATTCTTATTCTTAGTGAGTTATTCTCATACAGTCTGTCATATATATATTCTAATCAAGTAAACACACTTTCAATTACAAGCAACTTGTCAGACTTTCTTCTTTGGTAGTTCTAGAGACTGATTTAACATTAAGACAAGGCATAAAGCGTCTCATACCACTTTATCTCTTGTACTCCAAGGATCTAATGCACCCTATACCACATTAGTTCACAAGGTAAATGTTAAATCCTTAACTAGTATCATACTAATTTGGTAAAATCCAATATTAAAGAATTACTCACCCATTAATTCTAATAACCCTAGTTAACCTATGAAATTTTATATGTGTATAAGAATCCCCTTGTGCAACTATGATCCGACTGACAGAACTATATTTCTGGACGTAGCAATCTTGCTAACAGAATCTTTTTATAATCCTCGAGTATACCTATGTCTCTAGACACAACATCGAAGATTTGCAAAACAAGAATAAAAGAGAAGGGTGAAACTTTTCAAATACTCATAAAAGAAGTTAGGACTTGAAAGGAAAGAAAGAAATAAATAGGAGAAAGTATAAACTTATATAAAACATTGATTTTCAAAAATCAACTTAACTAATATAATATAAATAATTTCATTCATTCATAAGCAGGCACCTCATATATTTCCAATTCAATGCCAGATCATGATGCATGGGACTTATGCATATGCCAACTTTTGGTTTGGCTTAAAATCATTTGTTATGTTCATGTGACTCTTGGATCCATTCCTATCATCGGAAGTTGTTGGGAGTTTCACTACCTAGCCAACATTTCGCATATTTGGTGGGGACTCGAACCTCCACCGACTGATCCAACTCGACTAACATGATAAGCCTCAAGAGAAGGTCAGGATAAAGGAGTATCACGTGAAGACTCCCATTTTTGTAGCTCCTCTTCTACTCTTTCTCTCTCTTTTTCTTTTAGAAACATATTCTGATTCTTTTTGTTAAAGATTGATGGATTCGATTTTTGATATTGTAAATTGATTGTGGATCTAGATTTTAAGATCTTGATTGTATTGAACGCTTAATTATTTTCTTAATGTAATTCTTGAATTAGCTATTCAATTGCATTGAACCTAGAAGATTTTTATCAACGAAAGTTGAGTTAATTTCTCATATATGAATTGAATATCAAGGTTATAGATATCTTAGCAATAAGAATTCATGATCTTGTGATCTCTTAATTTCTAATGTCTAATAAAATGTTTGACTGAATTACACCTAAGAAATTAGGGTAGTTTAGTTAGATATTAGGATCAATGAGGCAAGAAATTGTCCTTTGATTAATCTAGTGAAATTGATCATCAATCAATTAAGGAACTTAGAGTTCAAATCTACTTCAGTTGTGCAATTGATAAAGAGGTGAAATTAATTCTAACTTCATTTACATATCATTCCATTTCTAAATTTGTAGCTTTGTTTTGCTGTAATTTTCTTATTTCTACACTTTAATTCTTTTGTTCTCCAATGATTCAAAATATCTCAAATATTCGTTTGGCTCAACTAGATATTGATTTGTGAAGTGGTAATTGATAGAACTAATTCCTGTGGACGATACTTGGGACTCAAATGAATTCTAAATTTTATTACTTGCTACAACGACCTAGTACACTTGCTAGTTAGTTTTCTCTAATTTTGTGACAGTCGTATCTTAGGCCTCAACCCATTTTCAAACTGGGCACATAAATCTTCATCTTCATCCTCATGTTGGAAATGAGGCCAGTACTTTATATGCTCATGGAATTTTGCAGCATAGTCTCCCACCGACATATTTCCTTGCTTTAACTCAAGGAATTCCTGGACTTTTTGTTTCTTTAAGTCCCTGGGGAAATAGTTCCCTAAGAAACATGTTTTGAAAGCTTATCATTGAATGTCTCCTTCTTCTTGTGGCAAAGTCTGACTAGCAAACCTTCACCAGACTTCTACTTCTTCCCTTAACATATAAGTGGCATACACCACCTTGTACTCTTCACGACATCCCATCGTGTTAAAGATTTTCTCTGTATCTGCTATCTACCTCTGGGCTCCTTCTGGATCAAACTTTCTTTTGAACTTCAGAGAGTTATGTTTCGTGAACGATGAAAGTCCACGATACTCTGCCAGCTTCGCATCTTGGTTATGTACCAAGGTTTCCAACACTTGTGTTATGCGGGCCAGAATCTCATTCGTAGCACTAGCAGGTCTACCTCTACTAACCATAGTTCTAATTCTAGAAAAATCAAATTTTAAACATTAGCTTTCATTCTAACACATTTCACATCAAGGTCAAACCATACAAACATTGCAAACATCTTAAACAAATCAAACAATTTTCAATCATTAGGTTGTACTAACAAACAATTCCTAAACAATAACACACAACACACAATATCGATAAACTAGTCTCATATCCCAAGCTAGTTTGGACGAACTGTTCTGATACCAAATTGTAACATCTTAAAATTTTTAATGAAAAAATGTATATTTTTGTTTTGAATAAATCGAGGTAAAATACCATTTATTGTGTATGGTAACTTTATTATTACAAATTAAATAAAGTTCCTTTATGATGGGTTTGTTTATATGAAAATTTCAAACTCTGCAATGGTAATGAAACAACAATACATTTAAAAAAAAACCCACAATAAGCCAGAATTAATTCTTCTCAGTAGTAAATTTGAATGTACATTTCATATATTAAATATCAACATTTACAAATTGTTTGTCAAAACATATATGGGAATTAAGATAACATTTACATAACCACAATAATTACATCATATAAACAAATTTAAGTCCAAGAGCAGTCCTCAAAACACAATCCAACACTAAGAACCCAATACTAATCAATTTTATGTCAGCTCTCTATCTCTGCCAGATCTTCAGAATTAAGGCATCATCTGATCCAATGTAATGATCGCCTGAATCAGCTATGATCTCTATGTCAATAACATGCTCAAAGGTCCATCTGGACGGTCTTCTGAAATGGTCATGGTTGTGATATGTAAATAGATAGGTGAGGGTTGCTGGAGTTCTAACAATACCACTATAGATATAGATACATAGAGTCTAATATATTTTACTCCTATGAAAATCAAAAGGGATACTATAAAAGAAGTTCATCTCTAAAATAATAAAGGTCCTAGGTACATCTTCAACAAGAATAGCAAACTTAAAATAACATAATCTTTGATATTTATTAAATACATAATTAAGCCTATTATGTACTGAGCTATCTAAGTGTCTAATTCTTTCCCGAGACTCTGTCATCCTAGTTTCTTGAAAATATTAATAACGATGAGCGTCTATTCTATCATTTACAAGACATAAAAATCACATAATCATAGTTAGAATATAAAGAAAATATATTTATTTTCACAATCCATTCATATTACAAACATATTCATATGTATACAACTCAATAATTTATTCTATAGCATCCATTCCCTCATTCCAATACACACTCCCAGTGCATTATGATCACAAGTATTGATGCCTCCAACATTTCTTGAGATCTTACTCAACTAGGTAAATAGTCACCGATTAGCTCATGCACACAAATACAACGTATATAATAGTCAGGCCTCTTAGCAAAGACATAGTCAGGAGTCTAGTCAGGAAATGAGTGTGAGGTCGTGGCATATTCGCTCTCAGAAAAAACATGTACATATATGTGAATGTCGCTCCCACCCTATGTTTCCCCAAAATTTCTATTGTCTCTGAACTCTATTTCCCTCAGTGTATCTCTGTAACTACTCACACTAGATCCAATCTATTTTTGATACTTATGGTCATTTTGAAATCATTTCCTCTTTCACTCACAAGATCGAGCTTAGTAAAGCACTTCCAGACTAGGTCCATTTCACCTATAATCTTTTAGTATAGTTTCAGTATCACACTATCATAGCATTTTATCCAGACATATTCCATGAAATAACATCATAATCAATTATCAAGTTTAATAATATTTCACATTGAATACTCATCACATAATGCATACAAGCATATAACAATTATTCAGTCCAAGCAACCAATATGTCTCAACAATCAAACAAGCATATTTTCATTCATTATTCACACAATAAATATTTTAACCATATATTTTCATGAAATGTCCATGTAACAGTGGTCTAATGAGTACAAAATAAATATTGTAATATAACGACAAAATAGAGCCCTCCTTGCCTCAAAGACGAGTTTAATGAAGAAAAGGATGAAAAAGATGGGTCATGCACTAAGGTTGTTCAATGATTTCGTTGAGTCAAAGTTTGAGCTTTGATTTGGAGTAGTTTCGGAGGCTTTTCTCTGGAGAAAGGAAGAGAGAGTTCAGAGAAAATGAGAAGGGAACGTGAGTTTTGAAATGAAATAAAATTTT